AAACAGTGTAGATTACAGTTTCCTGTTAGTGAAAGCAGAATATTCAAAGCATTTGAAATAATTCATGTAGATGTTTGGGGGCCATATAAGAAGCCTACTTTTGATAAAAAGCACTATTTTGTTACTATTGTTGATGACTATAGTAGATACACATGGCTCTGCCTCATTCACTCTAAAAGTGAGGTTATTGTAGAGCTCAAAGATTTCATTGCCTTAATAAAAAATCAGTTTGGTTTGTCTGTGAAAACCTTGCGATCTGATAATGGTACTGAGTTTTTCAACTCTTCTGTAAATGATTTGCTTGCTTCTTAAGGCATTATACATCAGAGTAGTTGTGCATACAACCCTCAACAAAACGGCAAAGTAGAGAGGAAACACAGACACATCTTGGAGATGGCAAGGGCTTTGAGATTTCAAAGTTCTCTCCCAATTCATTTCTGGGGTGAGTGTGTTAGGACAGCTGTGTATTTGATTAATAAGCTACCTACTGAAGTGCTTGGAGGCAAATCACCTTATGAAATGTTGTTGAAAAAGGTTCCACGACTTGATCATTTAAGAGTTTTTGTGTGCTTATGTTATGCAACTCAATTGCCAAGAGGGGATAAGTTTGCTCCTAGAGCCAAAAAGGCAATCTTTCTTGGTTATTCTGAAACTCAAAAGGGTTATAGGTTATTTGATTTAGTTGACAATGTTTTCTTTGTGAGTAGAGATGTAACTTTCAGAGAATCCACCTTCCCTTACCAAGCTGAACCTGCTGACCCTACTTCTACTGATCTTGACATGTTTGAACTACAACATTCAGATTTTCTTTCCCCCCAACTCATTCATTCTTCTAATCATCCTATTCCTGTACCTATTCTTGAGAATAGTCCTACTTCTATTCCTGAAGATATTCCTACAACTGATGCCTTACCTTCATTGCAACCTACAGAAGCATTTCTCCCAATTCCAGATCAGACTAAGTCCAGACCTTCTAGAACTATTAAACCTCCTGGATGGTTAAATGATTTCATCACTATCTCTAAAGCTAAGCCACCATCTGCCAGTTGTTCCTATCCTATTTCTAATTCCCTCCAATACTCACATTTGTCCTCTCCTTACCAAGCATACTTGGGTTCCTTCTCCCCTCAAGTTGAACCAAAAACCTTTAAAGAAGCATCTCAAGATTCTAAATGGATTATAGCTATGACTGATGAACTTTGTGCCTTGGAAAGTAATCACACTTGGGAGGTGGTTGACTTACCACCAGGCAAACAAGCTATTGGCTCTAAATGGGTGTTTAAAATAAAGCATAAGGCTGATGGGACTGTTGATAAATACAAGACAAGGTTGGTTGCTAAAGGATATACACAAAAGGAGGGGTTAGATTACCATGAAACATTCTCCCATGTTGCTAAGATGATAACAGTGAGAACTCTAATTAGTGTTGCAGCATCTAAGGACTGGCCTTTGATTCAAATGGATGTTAATAATGCATTCCTTCAAGGTGATTTACATGAAGAGGTTTACATGTCCTTACCTCAAGGTTTCCACAGACAGGGGGAGACTAGAGTTTGTAAGCTGTTGAAATCTTTGTATGGGCTGAAACAGGCTTCTAGACAATGGAATATCAAATTATCTACTGCCTTGTTGGAAGCAGGATACATTCAGCGTTCACATGACTATTTCTTATTCACTAAACAGTGTGGTAATGACATAGTTGTAATTCTAGTTTATGTTGATGATTTAATGATCACAGGAAACAGCCAACAACTGATAGATGATGCTCAGAAGACACTGCATAGCAAGTTCAAAGTGAAAGACTTGGGGCAGCTCAGGTATTTTTTAGGGATTGAAGTATTGAGGTCAGAAAAAGGGATTCTACTTAACCAAAGAAAGTATATTTTGGAATTACTCTCCACAGTAGGAATAACAGGAGCTAAGCCAGCTTCCACTCCCATGGAAATGAATGTAAATCTTACTACATTGGAGTATGACACAGTAGTTGGAGGTGTTGAAGATCCTGTGTTAAGTGATGTTCACAGTTATCAGCAATTAGTTGGGAAACTGATCTATGTGACCATCACCAGGCCTGATATATGTTTTGCAGTCCAAGTCCTCAGTCAATTCATGCAACATCCCAAGAAGTCACATTGTGATGCAGCATTGAGAGTTCTCAGATATCTCAAACAAGCACCTGGGCAAGGGGTGTTATTGACAAGAGGACCTATCACAAGATTGACAGCATACTGTGACTCAGATTGGGCAGGTTGCCCTAACACCAGGAGGTCAGTGACAGGGTATGTAATTCAACTTGGAGATTCTTTAATTTCATGGAAGTCAAAGAAGCAACGCACTATCAGTAGAAGCTCAGCAGAGGCTAAATACAGGAGCATGGCAGGCACAGTAGCAGAAATTATTTGGCTAACTGGATTATTAAAGGACCTAAGGGTAGACATTACTACTCCAGTCAGACTCTGTTGTGATAGCAAGACAGCTATGCAGATTGCTATCAATCCAATCTTTCATGAGAGGACTAAACATATTGAGATTGATTGTCATTTTATAAGAGAGAAGATCAAAGATGGCTTGATCAAGCCTGAATATGTGGGGACCAAATCTCAGCTAGCAGATTTACTTACAAAAGGTCTAGGGATTGTACAACATCAATTTCTTCTTTCCAAGCTAGGAGTCCTTGATGTCCTCCATCCTAGCTTGAGGGGGAGTATTAAATAATACGGTGGTTGAGTCGGTTAAGTAGTCACGTGACCACTTGTAGAGTACAAAGTTAGTTACAGTAATTGTGATGTATAAATAGCTGTAACTTGGATCTGGTTCATATATGAAAACACTTTTTCTTCTTCTTCTTACTCAAAATGCTCTCTATGCTGTAGTCAATAAACCATTAATATGGTTTAGCAAAAATTTATGGACTAAAAGGTGAAATATATGCTTCCTGTTGCTTGTGCAAACATCTCTGTGCATATTATTCATTGTTGAAAATTCATTTTTTTTGGATTATTGATTTGGTGAACCGTGAATGGTTGTTATTTAAGAGGCAATAATCGATATTTATTTGATGGCTCAAATAGTGATTAAGTCCAAAAAAATGTTTACCACTTTTCTTGTTTCATTCTTCTTTATGGTGAGTAAATTGAGTTCTCATGTTTGACGACAAAGACTTAATTGTTCAGTTAAAATTATTTGTGAAAGTTATAATTTTCTTTTTTATAGATAGAGAAATAACAGTACTCAAGCTTTAATTATCATAGTGTGCATTTCAAGTATGAACATAATTAATTGTACTTTACATGATGTCCTTAATGATTGTGTGCTAACGGTACCCTACATGCATTTTCCTGCATATGTTTTGAGTTATTTGGTGTTCTAAGGTCAATCAAAAGTTTATGTTGTTTTATTGGTAATTTTAATGGCTTCTGATCGTACAATATTTGATTTGGTCACCAGAGGTGGTAAATCATGATAAAAGTATAACTGGACACAATATGTCAAATTGCTTATCATAAGCATGCACACCTAATTATGTGTGGTTATAAATTGCAGAGACGCTTGGCATGAAACTGAATTAAATCATGATTTGGTAAATATTTTTGAGTATTGTAAGACTAATGAAAGCACAATCATAAATAAATTATAATAGTTTATGACTTATATGACAACATTATTATATATACTCTCGTTAGTTTTACTATGAATTGGATATTGACAAAACTTTAAAAAGAAAAGAGATAAGACTGTATTAGCTTGAGAACCCTCTTGTTATAACGTTCGCAAACAATATTTTATTTTTAGCCATGGACGTTGGTCCGTAAGGTCTATGAATTATGTTTTGAGTTGTTTTTCAAGGAGTAAGGTGTGAGGAGGTATTGTTTAATATTCCCTCCGTTTCACAAAGAGTGTCCTGGTTTGACTTGACACGAAGTTTTAGAGAATAAAGAAGACTTTTGAATCTTGTGGTCCTAAATTAAAGTTATGTCAAATGTACTAAATTGCCCTTCAATCTTGTGGCTTTAAACATGCCACGTGGAAAACTGAAATTAAAATGTTACCAAAAAAGGAAAGAGGTCATTATTTTTTAAACAAACTAAAAAGGAAAGGAGGTCATTCTTTTGAAACGGAGGGAGTAAGGAGTATACGGGTTAAAGTTTTTACCAACATTAGTTAAGTATCATTAGATTCAATGTCATTAAAGGCTTAATGTTAATTATCGTTAAAAATACATATTTAATGGTTATTAAGTTATTATTGTTAATTAATTGTCGCTAAAAATAATTTCCAATTCAAATCTGAGATCGACTGCTCTCTCATAGAACTTAGGAAAGAACTTTCACTATATGTTTGTAATCATACATCCATATTAGACATTTATTAGTATTTGAAATTTTTAACTGTCCATCTCGAGTAGATATAGTATAGAGATTTGAGAATGAATATAAAATTGTTGGGCCGTGCTGGCACGGCCAACACTCGCTAGTATAATCAAAACATGTACAGTTTTGAAATGGAGACAATTTATTGCTCTTACTTCAATTAACTAGTGACACTCACGCGATATGCGGATAATATAATGATTCAACTGCAAAATTTCATTATTAATACATAGATTGGGATATGCCTAATCCCTACCTTTGGTGGATTTTGAAGAAAAAAAAAATAGAGCTAGGAATAGACATCAATTAGGATGACTTTACATTCAAACGATTTTTCATTGCTAATTAAATCATAAATTAACTCGTGATGGAATTTTTTTTCAAATTTGTCTTTACAAAGTCCAAGAAGAAATTTATACTATATGATATTTTTTGGTTATCCTATAGATTATAGAGTATGCTAGAATCACTAAATGCAAGATGTCATAAATCTCTTATTGCATCACATGATTAACAATTACGCTTAAGTAATGTAAATATTATTTACACTCCTCCTTCCCCTATATACACACGCACATATCATTTGGCCAATTAACTATATGAACTACCACTATTTTTTATCAATTCCATTCCTAAAATGAGTGAGAAAAAATCATCACCAATTGCGAATAATGAAGAAATAGAGAGAATTATAGAGCAACTGCCCAAAATTGATTATTTTTTTAATGACTTTCAACTTTATCAGTGGGAAGGTTTTTGGTCAAATCTTACCGTTTTAAAGGCAGCCATGGTCTTCAAGGCAACCTTCAAATCAGAACCTAATGATGTTCTCTTGGCATCTTCCATAAAAACAGGTTTTTATTAATCAATTGGTTTGAGTTTGATTAATGAATTCATCAACTATTTTATGTTCTTGTGGTAAAATATATGTGTTTCATATTTAAGGTTGTGTATTTGGTATGAAGGACAATGTGTCCCTAATTTTCTCTGATGTTAAATATTATCAAAATAGCATTTATATATATGTGTTGGGGGTTAGGGGCGGTGGAAATGGCGGTTGGGGAGGAAGTGTTGAGGGTGGGGGAGGAAGTCGTGTGTGTGGGGGGGGGGGGTGAATATTTGAGCGTTGGGAGGAGACGATTGGCGTGGGATTCCCATTATGGAACTCACTTTCCTATTCTCGTTACGGAAGTCATTTTTTTTAATCATCAAAACCTACCTACACACTCTTAGAATGTGGTCTTTCCTTATACTTTTTTTTTATTGCGCGTATATATTTAAAAATTAGAATGCCTTATATTTTCGTCAAGTCCAATTTGTAACTTTTTACAGGTCAATGATCAACGGAAATAAAATATTAACTTATAAAAAACCTATATATTTTCATTCTAATGTCTGATGTTTGTCTTACAGGTTCAACATGGCTCAAGGCCATATGTGTATCCATCATGCAAAGTAATAAAGAGGAAGAAGAAGATATTTTAGTTAAGGATAATCCTCATTTTCATTTTCCAACAATAGAGAGCCTGGATTATTATTCAAAACCTCCAACTCATGATCTATACACCATGCCCTCTCTAAGATTATTTCACACTCATTTACCTTATAGAGTTTTGCCAAACTCAATAAAAAATTCGGATAATTGCAAGATTATATACATAACAAGAAATCCTAAAGATACCTTAATTTCTATGTGGCATTTCTTCAACTATAACAGTAAGCATTTAGAAGATCTGATCTTTCCTTTAAAAGAACTTGTGGAGTACTTTTGCAATGGGGTTCATCCGTATGGACCATTTTTTGAACATGTTCTTGAATATTGGGAAGAAAGTAAAAAAAGGCCTCAAAAAATATTATTCTTGAAGTATGAAGACTTGAAGATAGACCCTAAGAAAGAGGTGGCAAAAATAGCCTTGTTTCTTGGAAAGCCTTTTGGTAATGATGAAGAAGATTTGGAGATAGTTTTGAAGAAGTGTAGCTTGGAGAGGCTTAAGAATTTGGAGGTTAATAAGAGTGGATCAATCGTCTCTTTTATCCACAATAGTGCATTTTTCAGAAAAGGAGTTGTTGGGGATTGGAAGAATCACATGACACCTGAAATGGAAGAGCAACTTGACAAGATTACCAAGTTGAAGCTTCAAGGGAGTGGCCTTGAACTTTGATACTTATAAACAAGAAGTATTGAAAATACACCTGAACTACTTGACGTGAATTATTAGTTTCATTCTTGAATTATTGACGGTCTTAAAAACATCCATCTATTTGGCTAACTCAACTTAAATACACCCCGATCTGCCACATAGCATAGCAAGTGGTCTCAAACTCTTGTACGAGCGTGAGACTCTTAATAAAAAGTCGAGAGAAGTGTTGAAAACACCCCTAAATTTTTGGTGTTTTTCACCCATGTGGCAAGATGAGAGGTGTATTTAAGTTCAGTTAGTCAAATAGATGGGTATAAAGTTGTTAATAATTTAGGGACGAAACTAATAATTCAGATCGTCAAATTTAGGAGTGTTTTCAGTACTTCTCTCTATTGTAACTACTACTTTGATAAGTTTTTCTATTACTTCATACCGATGAGTAATAAGTTAGGGTTGTTGAAAATAATAAAACTTAAATGTTTAAGCCTCTATCTTCCATGTCTTTTTGTATCTCTTTGATGAAGTATGAGTCTAGAAATATCTCTTAATTGTTGACACCTATAAAAGTTTATCTTTTGTAATGTTGTTATGACACATGAAATTTTAATATATTATGGAGTGACCTCGTGGACGGACGAAAGAAGAGAAGTTACAAAATGGGGTAGTGAAGGCTCACGAAGTAGACAGGGGGATATTAATTTTTGAAAAAATAGGTACCTCGTCGGTCCTAATAGTATTATATAGTTAACATATTCGATAACACTAGTAAGAAATAGTTAATATATTCTACAACACTAGTAATATTTGTTTTATCAAAATTTAACAAACATTCAAAGTGTTTTTTCACTCCAAGTTACTCAAAAATTTAGTAACAATTCGAATTTGTATTCATATCTTCAGACAAGACTTCAATTTTCAAATGACAAGAGTATAAACAAATATATTAAATTGATTTGATCATTGACTAAGATATAGTTGATATAAGAAAAGTATTAAATTATTGAGAGAATAGTTTTTCCACTTTATTTGAAAACTCCATTGTGAATGTGTTACACAATCCGTTTCGGTCGTTATGAGTAGATCAATGGTAAAAGAATTTGGGCAAGAAAATTTTGTGGATAGTGACCAAAAAATTTTATGCTAGGCTAGGCAAGCCTTAGACAGAATCTGGGCTAAGTGGGGTATTGGTCATCTAAGGATGGGTGGGGTGTAATGTCTATGTTTCGTTGATATTTTCTTGTAGCCAAGACATTAAGGAAACTATAGTGCTTTATGAAATTGAATTTAGGTAAGTAGAACTCTCAGAATTGATCTTGGCATGGAAAGGGATTGATCGGGACGTCAAGGGAAGTATGTGTGTTGTGAAAAAGGCACTTTTCAGAAATTTCCGAGGCAACAGTACTTTCGCATAGTCCCTACCGTGAGAGGCTCCCGCCATAGTGAGCGTGTGCAGGCGCTATAGCGGGGTAAGTTCCGCTATAACGGATTTGGCATTAAAGGAACTAATCTAATATAATCAAATGAGAGAGACATATGTAGAGCCGTCAATATGGGCTAGGCCCGTTGGGCCGGCCTGGCCTAACCCGGGATTCAATAGGGCTGGGCTAAGATTTTTGGAGTCCATTTAAGAAAAGGGCTTTTTAGCCCGGCCTGAATAAGCCTGCTGATTTGTGGGGCTTGAGAAATATAAGTAGGGCCGGCCTGTGGGCCAAATAAAAATAATTTAAAAAATTTAATATAATATTAAAATTTAAAATTAAAGAGAGTCCAAACTCAAAATCTATTTAATATTTAACTAATGGAAACTGCATATAAATTACAGATGAAAATGAAGATGTTAAGACAATCTTGCCACAAGCGATTCAGATATGCTTGATGAAGATGATCATGAAGTGTTGGATACGCCATAGATTTCATGATGTGTTAGATACGCCATAAGTTTCATGATTTTTTTTAAGGAGTTTATTTTTAACTTTTTCATGGTTGGAATATTGTCACATTTTTTGTGTTTTAATGTGACAAAACAATTAGGTTAATATTTCTATTTAGATATTTATACTTTTATTTGAAAAAACCTTAATAAATATTATAAAGATGATTTTATTTGTAGATTTGATTAACAAGGAGTAACATTAACATGATGTAATATTGTTTTGTCGATATTTATGATAATATTTTTAAATTATAATTTATAATTTATTTTAATAATTATAAAAATATATAATTTTAAAAAAAGTGAGCTGGCCCAGCAAGCCTGTAGCCCACGTACTTGTGGGTTGGGCCGATCGTTTTCTGGCCCACAACAAAAATAGGCTAGCCCGGCCTGACCCGTAAAATGTCAAAACCTGTATGGGTTAGCCCGGATGGGGTGGGCTAGCTCATATTGACAGCTCTAGACATATGCATAAGTCCTACACAAAATTGACATCCTTTTACCAAAAATGTTTAGCAAAAAATTAAGGCTAAAAAAGTTGGCACTACTTAGCTAAATTTTTCATCTTTGTATTTAAAAAATAATTATCTCTCTAAAACTAAGAATTTAGCTATACACGTTTTTATTTATAGTAAATATATTAGTTAAACTATTTTAAAAGAAATTTCTTATTTCACGTTGGTTATCCCTAAAATTAGAAATTCGATTATTTTGTTTCCCTTATTGCATTTACCGGATATCCCTTATTTTAGAGATTCAATTATTTCATTTCAACCCTTTTTTGTTGAAGTAATTATTAGTTAAAATACTTTATTTTTGCAGCAAAATTGATTAAAGTTTTTCAAACCTATTTTTCAAACTTTAGATACCACATTGAAGTTTATAATTAGAAAAAAAATTCACATCTAATAAGTTGACCATTTGAAATTAGAAATTCACATGGAAACACTAATTTTACTTGTACGCCAATGTCCCTAGTCGTCTAATTAAATTATACATAGTCTTTTTTTATATATATAGAAAAGTATTTTTATATATAAGTGCGTAATTGTTAGTACTAAATAAAAATTATTTGGAAACACTAATGTTCCTTGTACGCCAAAGCCCCAAATCATCCAAGTTATAAAATATATTTTTTCTTTTTATTTTATCTTTTGAATTGTTTACTTGAGTAATTAATTTACTGATCATTAACCTTCATAGTTATCCTAAAATGAAAATATTAAGTATTTTTTTGACACAATTTATATGACATATTTTTTTTATTGATCAGTTAAAAAAAGAATGACACGTTTATATTTAAAAGTAACAATTTAACATTAAAATTCTCATTTAACACTTATTGAGATGATTTATAGTCACATATAAACATCTATGACGACTTATTTTAGACCATAAGTTTCAAAAGTCTTTGTTTCTATCTTAAATTTGTGCCTAGTTAATTACATCATATAAATTGAACCGAAGGAAATATAAAATTCTTTTAAAACTAATTTAAAAAGTGAACAGTAGACATATATTTTAGGACATAAGAAGTTTATTCTACTAGTTGAGAAAATCAAGTACTCTCTCCGTTTCAATTTATATATGTCACCATTTTTTATTTCACGTGCATCAAGAAATTAAGTAAGTTTATTCTACCCTTATTTAATTTTTTTAAGTCACCTTTTCAATCAATGAATATGAATTAATTTATTTTGTTTAATTATTTGACCAATGAACATGCGTCATTACTTAATTTTTCTATGTTGGTCAAATGCATATTTTCAAGGCTAATAACTCATAAAGATAAAATAAAAAGAATATTGTAATTTATGCATTGATATTATGAAATGACAAGTATTATTAACCAACTATTTATAGTAAAAATGACATATAAAAAGAAATGGAAGGAGTATTATTTAATTATTGCAAACATTAATTGTTCCATTTATCAAGATCTGTACGCATATAGTGAGCATTGATCCACTATATAAATAATCCAGTCATTATATTTAATAAATAATCCAGTCATATTTTATTATTATAATATAATATAAATTAGTTTATATTATCATTTAGTGGTACATATTGCAGTTTTTATGCCTATAAATAAAGGATAATTTATGTTTCTGAATTCCATCCAAGTTTAGCTATTTCTACAATATATCTTATAGCAAATAATTTTCCAATGAAGTTGCAGGCCCTTACCATTTTCTTGGTAAGTAGCATTTTAATTTATATAGTTTGTATCTTATCATTTTACAACTTATTTAAGTTTGGTTCTTTTCTAGGTTATCATTTGATTATGAAAATATTATCATACTTAACTAGTAGTATAATTCACTAAATTTTTAAAATTTGCTTATTTTGAAGAGGAAAAAAAAAAGTGACTTGAGGGTAACAATTTGTGATTAACCAAGATTTTGTAAGTGTATTTTGGGACGAGATATTTTTTTTAGCTTTTAAAAAAGGGAAAAGGGCATGATATACCCCTCAACTTTGTCATTTAGAGCTGATATACCCCTCGTTATAAAAATGGCTCATATATACCCTTACTGTTACACAAATGGCTCACATATACCTGTACCGTTACAAAAAGGACCTCACATATACCCTTCATCTAACAAAAGTGAGAAAATTAGTTTTAATTTTTTCTTTTTACTTTGAATTTCAAAAAAAATCATGTAGGGCTATATATGATCCTTCTAACAAAGTTCAAAGTATATTTTAATCTTTTTCATACAAAAAATATTTTTTTACTTCTTTGATTATCATTATTCGAGTTTCTTATCCTTTTTTATTTGATTCTTTAGTGTAAAGAAAAAAATTTAAAACTAATTTTCTTTTTGCAGCTATATTGAAATTTAATTTTTGTATTTGTAAAAATAAAATAAAAAATGGGGCATCTTTAATAAATTTTACAAGAAAATTAGTGAAACACAAATAAATTTGACCATCACAATAATAAATTTAAATTAGTATAACAGTAGGGGTATATACGAGTCACTTTCATAATGAGTGGTATATCATCTCTAAATGACAAAGTTGAAGGTTATATCATATCCTTTTTCCCTTTGAAAAATAACTTTTGTTACTTGATCAAACATCTCAACTCACTAAAAAAACTTTAATTAACTTTCAGAAGTTTGGTCGGACAATCTATACATTATATGCTCATATATTACTCCTTGACAAATTAAATTCCATTATCTGAGTCAAATATAAGTTTAATATATGAGTTTTCATAACGATTTCAAGTTAATATATATAATAATAACTAACTTCCTTTTCAAATATATATATGTAGCTTGCTTTTGTATTAGCAAGTACTTATGCAGCGATATCTTCGGAGGTTTATTGGAAAATAAAATTGCCCAATACTCAAATCCCCAAAATCATCAAAGATTTCCTTCCTCATTCAGGTATACAATAGAATTTATTATATGTGTTTATATTTTAAGGATAGTATTACAGGCATACCTCAAACTATGAAAATTCTCATGATTTTCAACCATTTATTGTGATTGTGATTTTACAGAGCTAAAACAAGAAAACACTAAGAAGAAAGTGTACTATGGTTTAGGTGGATATATTCCCATTCAGAGGCGTATCTAAGGGGGGTCACTGGGTTCACGTGAACCCATGGTCCCCTCCCAAGATCATATATAATAGTGTTATAATTTTAAAAAATATTGAAATATAGATACGTGAACCCACACTTCAAGTATCAGATAATGCAATTCTGACTGGGTGCACCTCTCTCCGCGAGGTTTGAAAGTTGAATTTTATATTTATCATGTTTTATTTTTCTTTCTAAAATTAGATAACACTTCTCTAAGTGGTAATTGGTATATAAGAATTAATTTTAGACCTATAATTTTAAAATTTTAACGGTTTTCAATAGTAAAAACCTAAATGTCGAACCGATCAAATTTATATCATAGATCAACCTTTATATAACAGTGCACCCATCATCTCAAAATCCTGGATACGCCTCTGTTCCCATTAGTTGGCATCATCCTGCTAATTTTGAGTTTCAACGTTTCGTGCTAGAAAACCCCAGCACGAATCGTGCTACTAACAAGAATTTGATCAAACAAGTAACTGAAGGAAGTAGTTTGAAGACTGATCTTAAAGTAAATTATGATACTTTGAAACAGTACTTTTTAGAGAAGGACTTTGGAGAACGGGAAAGTTATCGAGTTTCCCTCTCTCCTAAATAAAAATGAAGCACCATTTTTACCTAATCGATTCCCTTCTCGATGGAGAAATTCCCAGAGATCCTCAACCATTTCTCAATCGATAGTAAATCAAAGGATGCTCAAACGATTAAAAAAACTATCAAACTTTGTGAAGAGTCAGAAGTGAAACATAAAGAGAAGAAAATTTGTGTGACTTCTTTGGAGTCTATGGTAGATTTCGGGTTATCTGTACTTGGGACAAACAATATCCTCACGATTACTTCTGAGGTACAAGGGGAAACTCAAGCATCCCAACGATACACAATTGAACAAGTTCAACAAATATCTGATAGGGATAACATGGTTTTCCACAAGCTTAACTACGCGTATGCACTACATTATTGTCATGTTGGAGGAAGTACAAGAACATATATGGTATCTATGGTCGGTGTTGATGGAACAACAGTGAAAGCAGTATCAGCGTGCCACAAAGATATATCTTTTTGGAACACACACGCGATCCCTTTTGTAGTTCTCCAACTCACTTGGCAGAGTTGTAGCATCAAAGGATAAAGTACTAAGCCACCAAAGAAGTCCACAACTCACTTCTTGAAGTAACCACAGGCCATATGTAGCACTATTCTATTCGAACCACATCAAATTTGAGTGAAATCAGTCCTATATATCATGTTTATAAGGACATGATTGTTGACTATACCTTATTTATCGACACTAGATCAGGGATCTCCCCCAAAATCAGGGATCTCCCATTATGGCTAACGGTCATTAGCTTGAAATCAGTAGATAATTAGGACTCTATTACTTGTATAAATATCTTGTAAATCCTACAGTTTTATCATTCAATAAACAAATCACAATTCTTTTATCTCTAATTGTTTTGTATCTCTATCGTTATTCAACTTGGTATCAAGAGCCTTGTTTTTTTTTCTAGTAAATTTGTTTCGTTGATCTTTGGTCCAGATTCTCAATCCATATCCATTATTCCTATAGTCATCTCTGAATCTATTCCTTGACTGATTAGGATGGATTCACGAGATACCTTGTCAACAAAATTTAATGGGCATAACTATCCGATTTGGCAGTTCCATTTCAAAGCCTTCATTAGAGGCAAAGGCCTCCTTGGTATTCTGGATGGCTCAAAGGTTGTACCCACAGAAGACAAAGAAAAAGAGGCTTGGGAGGCTAACAATAGCAAAATTATCATATGGCTTGCAATTCGGTCTCTGTTGATATTGCCATGGAACTGACATCTTTTGAGAAAGCATCAGAAATGTGGAGTCATCTACATACCCTCGGTAACCAACAAAATCTGGCTCGAGAATTTGAATTGGAAAGACTACTTGCAGAATCTATACAAGCTGAAAAAAATGTTCGTTGTTTCTATTCTGCATTACTCACATTATGGGCAGAATAAGATCAGGTTTTTTCCGCCTCTATTCCTGCGGCTGGATTGAAGGATTTCATGACTACGATGAAGAGGACAAGGACAGTCCAATTTCTAATGAAACTCAGGCCCGAGTTAGAGCATTTGCGTGCTAGTATTCTTAACAAGGAAAAACTACCAGCTTTGGAGGTGGTAGTTTCTGAAGTTCTTCGAGAAGAAACTCGGCTGTGTTCTCAATCTTCGATAGAGAATTCCCTTACCATGGACACTGCCTTTGCTGCATACAAAAGTTCTTCTTCCTCGGGCAACTCTAACAAGCCTGTTCAATGCTATCATTGCAAGGAAACAGGACACATTATTTCCCATTGCAAGAAGCGAAATTATTGCAACTATTGTAAGAAAGATAGTCATATTATTCTGGAATGTCGTAAGAAATCTGGTCCAGGGAAACGCTCAACTCCTCATAAAGCCTTCCAAGCGATGGCAAGGGATGCTGGAACACGAGAAACACCAAGCACAAAAGTGCTTGATCGTAATGATATCTACAAAATGATACAAGAATCATTGGTGGCTGCTCTTCCTAATGCAATCTCTTTAACTCTGACTGCTACGTATCCTGGTAAGACTAAACCTTCAGACTCAACGGTATGGCATATTGATTCTGCTGCATCTAATCATATGACAAGAAATCAAAAACTGTTTTTTGATTTATCTAAACCACGTTCTAGACATGAAATTGTTACAACAAATGGTCATGTTTTAACTGCATCAGCTATTGGCACCATTAAACCATTTTCAGAAGTTCTTTGTGTACCAAAGCTTACTGCAAATCTTTTATCTGTTGGGCAACTTGTAGAACAAAATTTTTTGGTTATTTTTTCTCCTAATGGTTGTGTTATTCAGAACATATTGGCAGGCTGTTTCTTCTTCAATCTCAGGATACCAAACTCCATCAGTGTTTTCTTTCAGCTTCAAATAAAGATATCCAATTTTCAAATAAAATGTGGAACTTGTGGCATCTCCGTTTAGGCCATCCACATGCTTCTCGGTTAAATTTTATGCTTAAATCTTGTAATTTGTTGGGCAAACATTCACTGATTTTTCCCTCTAAATTACCTTGTGAAAGTTGTGCAAAATCAAAGAGTCATAAACTTCCTTTCCAATTAAGCAGTACTAATTATTCTACTCCCTTTGATTTAATTCATAGCGATGTTTGGGGACCTTCTCCAATTATATCTCGTTTGGGATACAAGTATTTCATTCTATTCATTGATCAAGTATCTCGTTATACATGGATTTTCTTCTTGAAACACAAGTCTGAGGTACCAAATATTGTCAAAATTTTTTATAACCTTATAGAAACCCAATTTGAGAAAAAGATCAAGATTTTTCGTTCAGATTCAGGAGGGGAATATGTCAATATAAACCTCACTAATTTTTTTCAAGAAAAAGGCATAATTCATCAGCGTTCTTGTCCGTATACACCGGAACAAAATGGTGTGGTGGAACGTAAGAATAGACATGTTGTTGAAACTGCCTTAGCTCTTCTTGATACTTCAAATGTTCCAAAAAAAATTTGGGTTGAAGCAATCCAGACATCTATTTATCTCATAAATAGACAATCATCCTCGACTATGAAACAAAATTGTCCTTATTTTATTCTTTTCAAGAAATTGCCTGACTATTCACATCTTAAAGTATTTGGCTGTGTGTGCTTTGTTCTTCTTCCGGATCATGAACGTCATAAATTATCTTCAAAAGCCGTTAAATGTGTTTTCTTAGGATACAATGATATTCAAAAGGGGTATTTGTGTTATGATTCAACACGTCGTTCATTAAGAATCTCACGACATGTTATCTTCTTTGAGAATTCTTTTATTTATACTAACAAAGACTCACAATTCTCTACTATGTCTTTCCTGAATAAATTTTCTTCTCATGATGCTGCTTGCCATAGCCACCTTGCCGTTGGTCCTTCGTCGACCATGTCCTCTACCACATCAGGTACTGCTTTTGACTTTGATCCTTTTATTGATAATAATACTACTTCGGCTAATACTAATTCTTTACCTCACCCACATAATGCCTCATTAAATCTTAACAACCAACTTTCTCCCACTCGTCAAAATAGCATTAACCCCACTAGACGATCATCTCGGCATGCCCCCCCTCCAGAACGATATGGATACTCAACAGGTGAATATGGTCGATCTTATGCCTTACTAACAACCTTGAATTCTATAGTTGTACCAAACTCTTACATGCAGGCTAGTGGTCAGAAATGTTGGGAGGATGCAATGCATGAAGAATTAGTTGCCCTTGAGGAGAATGATACATGGGATATGGTGGATAGACCAACAAATGCAACAATTATTGGAAATAGATGGGTGTACTCCATCAAGATGAAAGTTGATGGATCCCTAGATCGATACAAGGCAAGATAAGTAGCTCAAGGATACAAGCAGGAATATGGAATCGACTATGATGAAACATTTGCTCCAGTAGCTAAGATGACGACCGTATGTATATTGCTTGCCTTAGCATCAATAAAAGGTTGGAAGTTACATCAACTGGATGTCAAGAATGCTTTCTTGCATGGAAACTTGCAAGAAATGGTCTACATGAATCCACCACCAGGTTATAAATATATTAAACTAAATCAGGTGTGTCGTCTTAAGAAATCCCTGTATGGATTAAAGCAGGCTCCTCGCTCTTGGTTTGAAAAGTTTTGCACTACAATCTTAGGTGCTGGTTTTACTCAAAGTAGCTCAGATTATTCATTATTCTTACGTCGGACTACCTCATGTATTACTATTCTTCTTCTTTATGTGGATGACATGATTATCACAGGAAACGACGAAGTTGGAATCTCTCATTTGAAAGATATGTTACACTCCTCGTTCAAAATGAAGGACTTGGGAAAGCTAACATATTTTTTGGGTTTGGAGGTAAGCTATGGAAAGGAAGGTATACGATTGAGTCAACAAAAGTATGCAGAAGATCTAGTTCAATTAGCTAATCTTATTGATCATAAGAAGGTTCATACTCCAATGGAAGTGAATACAAAATACAAAAAGGAGGAAGGAGAGATTTTTGGAGATCAGACCTTGTATAGACGTCTGGTTGGATCACTTATATATCTTACTATGAGTTGTCCTGACATATCTTATGCAGTACAGGTGTTAAGCAAATTTGTTACCAAGCCTTACAAGATGCACTACACTGCTTTGCTCAGGGTTGTTAGATACATAAAATGTACTGTAAATCGGAGTCTCTTATTCCCATCATCTTCATCGTTGGACATGGTGGGATACGCTGACGCAGATTGGGCAGGATGCCCTGATTCAAAACAATCCACTACAGGTTGGTGCATGATGCTTGGCTCGTACATGATCTCTTGGAAGTGCAAGAAACAATCTCGAACATCGAAGTCATCCACAGAGGCAGAGTATAGAAGTATGTCTGCTGCATGCTCTGAAATCATTTGGCTGCGAAGGTTGCTATCAAAACTTGGCATCGAAATGAAAGGATCAACCACATTGTATGGAGACAACACTAGTGCAATCAGAATAGCAACAAACCCCGTTCATCATGAAAACACCAATCACATAGATGTAGACTGTCACTACATTAGAGAACTGGTTCAAGATCGGAGTATTAGCCTGAAGTATATATCCTCTAAAGATCAACTGGCTGACTTATTTACGAAGGCCATGTCAAGAAGTAGACACAATTATCTGTTGTCCAAACTCATGTTTTGTGATACACAACATTAGTTTGAGGGAGGGTGTTGACTATACCTTATTTATCGACACTAGATCAGGGATCTCCCCCAAAATCAGGGATCTCCCATTATGGCTAACGGTCATTAGCTTGAAATCAATAGATAATTAGGACTCTATTACTTGTATAAATATCTTGTAAATCCTACAGTTTTATCATTCAATAAACAAATCACAATTCTTTTATCTCTAATTGTTTTGAATCTCTATCGTTATTCAACTATAATTGGCTCTATTTTCCCAAGATAGAGTGAACTCATTGACTTTTTATCCTCTGTTATGACCCAACTCACCGGACACCTATTCTAACACCCTAGACAAGAGAATTCTTACCATCCAAACTAGGATTAAACAAGTGGAAGAATAAACTAACTACTACAAAGCTCATAAACCTTGAGAAGAACAAAACTTTAAATAAACTCCTTTTACAAAATACTGTGAAACAACTCTCAAGGAGCTAGTCTAAACAGATACAAGAGCTACTAAGGAAGTACATTTTATACAAGAAAATAGGACACAACTCCCACCGTAAGGAAAGAAAACATGAAAGCTGTCAAAGATCATCGTCGTCTGCACCTACGTGTAACGTCACTAACCCTACATCAGACTATGCCAAGTAGCATAGCAAGAACAATATTAGTACAAACAACACGTACTGGTAGGCATCATCGGTTGACCCAAACCTACCGCATAATATAATGTGGATAATAAGAAAGTCATGCAATATGAAGGTTACACCACCTCACCTCTCTATTCCCTTACTTTCACCCTTCCTAGGTAACCAGTACCACAAATATGCCACTTCATGGCTCCCTAAGCCTACATGTTATGCAACCATAATGCCTAAACCCTATCCTAACTCTTCTATTACCTTGAGATTCCTGAATACAAGAGCACTCTTAATTTGATTAACCAACCTACTATCCTGACCCTTTTTGGAACAATACATGAAACTAGAGCCTTAAGCCAACTTATCCATCTTGACTTTATCATATACGTCCTAAAACTATTGGACAACCATAGCAGTCCCAACACTTAACCATACACCAGACAACCACCACTTCAATGAACCTATAACATCATGATAATTAGAAACCCAACTTAGAAACAACTAAATGATTGAGTCCCATTAACTCAATCCAGTAATTAAAGAATTATAGTCACAAGTATAATGTAATTCGAACTCCCATTCCTCACCTTGGATTTATATGCACTACCCACAATGCCATGAACATATGTCAATCACATATAACAACAATCAGAGTACATAGACTCTTTGTCATAATAACACATGGATCAACAATGCCTAGCTACAGTTCTCACATGATTACGATGTAAAAATCTAAACATAAACACGTAAAATCTCTAATAGGTATTTCTAGGTGGAAGGATAATAAGAAAATAACCTGCAAAGATTTTGCGTTACTTTCCACTAAAACCGAGGCTGCAAAGATTGTACATGTGCTCTAAAACTGCTGAATCTATGAGATGGCATTTATTGGGGGGGGGGGGGGGTAACCAAGATGGATTGATGAGGCATCCTAGGGATTCTCAGGCTTGGAAAATGTTTTACTTGTTTCATCCTGAATTTGTTGCAGATCCTCGAAATGTATGACTAGGTTTAGCTAGTGACGGTTTAATCCCTTTGGACCAATGTCAACAACCAATAGTATTTGGGAATGCATGAAGCTTTCTGTGATTTTATTGCTCTCATACCTTCAAATCAATGATAATCAGCTTTCTGTGATTTTATTGCTCATACCTTTTAGACCAAAATGTCTTTGGCAAGTAGAAACCTCCTCTTACTTTCTTGTTTTGCCCTCACATACTTGATAGTGCAAAGTTGTTCTTTCCTTGATACACAATAAATGATGCTAGCTAGTAAATGTTGAAATAAATGGAGGGCATTCCTATCAATTTGGGAAAGACTGTCGAGATGAATAACAAGCGCAAAAGAACTCAAGGAAAAACTGTTGTTGAAGATGAATCAAGACAATGGAGAAAGAGAAGCATATTTTTTTGACCTTCCTTATTAGGAATCTAATTTGTTGTGTCATAATCTAGATGTTATGCACATTGAGAAAGAATGTGTGTGAGAATTTGATATACACTTTGCTTAGTGATTCTGAAAAATGAAAAGACAATCCTCAAGCTCAAAAGGATCTCAAAGAAATGGGTATAAGACAAGAACTTTGGCCATATGAGAATGGAAATTGTAAGCCATCTTTGTTTGCTATTTTAAATACG